GAGTGTGGTTACCTTTGGAGTGGTAAAAAAATCTTCCTCTACCTACAAAATTTTCTTATATATATACGTATATATTTTTTGTTTAAACATTATTTCCACTAGAAATTTTTTCTTGTTGTCATCCCTTTTGTTTACGCAGATTGCTGGTCCGCAAACATGTCCTGCATCGGATCTTGAAAGTGGGTGTAGTGATTCGGAGGAATGGAGAGGGGAATTTTTCCCTGGAATTCCCAAAATTAAGTATGAGGTAGAAAGACTTATGAAACATTTCTCTTATCTTTATAGACCTTTTCTGTTTAGAATAATTTCCTCCTATACACATGAGATTCATATAAGTTACCCATTTTTTCAGTTAACTTGATTTTGAGGAACGATTGCATCTGAACATCTTTATGATTTTTCTTAATCAAAAAAATATCTTTATTGTTTTTGTTTGGCCAAATTTTCATTTTGTTTCTTATTAATTTAAGAAAATTTTCATTACAAAGCTGTTTCATTTATAAATGCTAAACTTTAGTGGTTATCTTCCACCAAATATACACCATACATATTTTTTGTCTTTCAGGGCCCGTCTAGCAAGAACCCCTTATCCTTCAAATGGTATAATGCGGAAGAGGAAATTCTCGGGAAGAAAATGAAGGTCGGTTCTTCTCTCTAATAAGTTTTGAATTTATCTAGCAGTTAATGGTTTGTGACTGAATTTTTTGACAATCATAGGATTGGTTGAGGTTTAGTGTTGCATTTTGGCACACATTCCGTGGAACGGGAGGTGACCCATTTGGTGCACCTACAAAGAATTGGCCATGGGAGGATGGAACTAATTCTGTGGCTATGGCCAAAAGAAGGAGTAAGAGTATTCTCTGTTATTTAAATCTTCTGCATTTGGCATTGAGGAATATATCAACTAAAGAAATATTTATATTTGCGTACCTGAAAATGCAGTGAGAGCCAACTTTGAGTTCATAAACAAGCTTGGAGTCGATAGGTGGTGCTTCCATGACAGGGATATAGCTCCTGATGGAGAAACTTTGGAGGTGAGTCAATTTTTAAGGTTACTTTACTGCTGAAATTTATGACACTGTTTAGAATGTGAGCAAAGAAGGTATGAGATGGGAGATTACATTTTTTTTTTCATAGAAAGTACAGATAACACAAAACTGGAAAGTGTTCATTTACCTTGTATGTTTGTTACAGGAATCTAACAAAAACTTGGATGAAGTGGTGGCCCTTGCTAAGGAGCTTCAGGTACCAGGAACTGATTATATGAGTCAATTCACATAAATTATAAAGGCAATCCTTTTTCATGCAAATTGGAGTTCTGTTACAAAGGCTTAAAGACATGACAGAAATACTAAAATCTTTGACCGCAATTTAGCTAGGGCTCATAGGTTGTTTGATGTTCCTTTTCTACTCACTTTACTTTGCAAATGGATTATGACCACAAAAAAAAAAAAAAAACCAGCATTCTTATTTTAGCATTTTCATTGTTTTCAACACCTTTGTCTATTTTATAGGTGCCAACTTGTTTGTGTACGTATGTTTCAATTTTAAGAAGCCATCTCCCTCATTTAAATTCCTTGTTATGTGACTGTAGGGAAGCAAAATTCGACCTTTGTGGGGCACAGCTCAGCTGTTTCTGCATCCTCGCTACATGCATGGTGGTGCTACTAGGTAATCTTTGTATTAAATATTTAATATACTCTGTTCTTGGACTCATTGCATGGACTAATACTCTCAACATGCTTTACAGCCCTGAAGTAGGTGTATATGCATATGCTGCTGCTCAAGTTAAGAAAGCCATTGAGGTGGGTTTTGGTGTGTGTAATAACAAATAATGAAGTTAATTGTTTGCATGCATGTAAATTTGTAATGTTGTTATTTCTTTGAAATGTCTGTGATGTGTTACATATCCTGCAGGTCACAAATTATTTAGGGGGCGAAAATTATGTCTTCTGGGGTGGCCGCGAGGGTTACCAGAGTCTCTTGAATACTGACATGGGACGAGAGCTTGATCATCTGGTGTGTTTTATTTGCAGATATTTTAAACGATAAGCTTCCTTTCATTTATACATTCAACTTGTGTCTCATTTAATTAAAAAAATGTTTTTTTTTGCTTGATAAGAATTCAACTTCTCTCGAGTAAACCATCTTTTGGCAACTGTAGTGCAAACCTACCAAGGGATCTGCTTTATATATGCTACCATATTACTGTGATCTATTCATTGTTTTCATAATGATGCCTTCCTCGTTACTTAGCATGAGCTGTGGTTTGTATTTACAGGCACGGTTTCTTGAAGCTGCAGTTGCCTACAAGAAGAAAATTGGATTTAATGGTATACTTGTGCTAAATTTATACCAATGCATACCAGATAGTTTTATAACTGACTTTAGTTTTTCACATTTACTGAGAATAGTATGAATGATTTCTCAACACTCCTTTTGAATTTTTATTTGTTTAATTATTATTTTTTTCATGAATTGCTTTGCTTAGGAGAGCTTATATTTTTCTTTCCCTTCTGTGCCATTCAGGGACACTCTTGATTGAACCCAAGCCTCAAGAACCTACCAAACACCAGTATGCTGCTTGCTTGATTACTTAGTAGTTTAATATGGTTTACACTCATCGTTTGTTTACCTATGGGTTGGTTATGTTAGGTATGATTGGGATGCTGCAACATCAGCAAATTTCCTCCGAAAATATGGCCTAATAGGTGAATTTTTCACATACCCTCTATATTCATGAGTCACTTAACTTTGTTACTTTTAGTTTTTGTTTCAGCTCTAGAGTTGGCTGTATGAATGAGATGAATTGTGGAATTTCATACGGTACAATAGGTGTTTTGTATTTGGTTTTTGTACTCCTGTCGGACATGCCATTTTGCACCCTACTCCATTTATTTGAATTATTTATGTAAAAGTTTTGCTTAACAGTGTAGTATCCTTCCTTAAATTGGAACTGGAAGTGCAAAGCCATTGAAAAGTATTTTTCAGAAGTAATCCTCAACTTTGTCATCCCTTTTCCTTTTGTAGGTGAATTTAAACTTAACATTGAGTGCAATCATGCCACGCTATCTGGTCACAGGTACATCACAGCTTGTGTCTTACCTCATCTGAAGAAAATATTTACTTCATGTTTCTCCCTAGAGTTTTGTGGGCACATGAGAAAATTTGAAATACTTTGTGTTCTTTGCAGCTGTCACCATGAGCTTGAAACTGCAAGACTCAATGGTTTATTAGGAAATGTTGATGCAAACACTGGAGATCCTCAGACTGGTATAGGATACTTGTATTTTTTTTTTGAATTTATTGGTACTGAACCAATCTAAGAATGAAATTTATAATATGGTCATTTTGTCATTGTCACAGGATGGGATACAGATCAATTTCTCACAGATATTGCAGAGGCAACTCTGGTTATGCTCACTGTAGTAAAGAATGTATGTCAGAGATGAATCTATTTCGCTTTAATGTTTTAAGTTTTAAAAACTTGTGATTGGTTGGGCATGCAATTTCATGAGCTGAATCTGTGTGTTCTTTCTTTTTCCCCTTTATCACAGGGAGGAATTGCACCAGGAGGATTCAACTTCGATGCAAAATTGTCAGTTTCTGTCTTTACATTTGATTTGTCTTTGCATATTGTGATATCTGTTATGCTGGTACCTAAGTGCCCTCTTATATTGTTTTGCTTTTTTACCTCTTTAGACGGAGAGAAAGCACAGACGTTGAGGATTTGTTCATTGCTCATATTAGTGGAATGGATACCCTGGCGCATGGGCTCCGAAATGTTGTGAAGCTCATTGAGGTAGTGTGTGCAGACTCTCCTTTATGTACTTCTCAACGAATCTTATGATTTGTTTCCACTTGCTAATCATGGTATTATATCTCTTCTTTTGTGAATTACAACATTAAGGATGGTTCTCTGGATGAGCTTGTTCGCAAGCGATATGAGAGTTTTGATACAGAAATTGGCGCACATATAGAGGTAACAATTTTCAATCACTTCTTCACATTTTTTGGTTTTAAATTGCCTAGATGGCTAATGCACTGTAATGCACCTTGAACAGGCTGGTAAGGGTGATTTTGAGTATCTTGAGAAGAAGGCCTTAGAATGGGGTGAACCCAAAGTTCCTTCTGCCAAGCAGGTAATTTGAAATATACATTTTGTTTAAAACAATTCCTTCGATCAATGAAATACAAAACTTTCCTTTACATGTTCCAGTGATTGTTTTGCTTGAGATACAATGTAACAAATTCTGGAATCTGTTTCAGGAACTTGCGGAGATGCTTTTCCAGTCGGTTTTGTAGACATGCAGCGCAGCGTAGGATAACAAAAATAATATATATTGTAATCATTACCAATAAAGGACACTCTTTTCTTTGTTTCTTAAAAACATACAAGTAACTAGTTGATTCAGATCCTTGTAACCGTCTAGAACTTGCATATTGCTTGCATAGGAATAAAATCAGTGAAGTCGTGACTTGGGGAAGTTGTGATTAGGAATAAAGGAATGGTATGAGATCAACTATTATTCCCAATCAATTTAATTCTTGGTTTTTCAGATATTTGATTATGTATAATTTGGAAATCACAAATTTTTTTATTCTCTATTAGTAACTGCAAGTAATGAATGGAATTAAGTTTGTGCCATGTTTACTTATTAGGAATGGGGGAAGATATGAATCGGAGAACTTAGATAGGGGAATCAAGAAATTGGAATTGGATGAACTACTCTAGGAAGTCAGGAATTGGAATACTCTCATTCCGTTTAAGTAAACATTATTAACAAAGCACAATTAACCGTTCAAGTTCTAAGCTTAGAGAATTTAAAATAAACTAATAATGATTCTCAATGAGCTGCAATTCATGCCATATCAAAAGAACGAAGTAATGTAGGATGGGCCCCTTCTTGTATATGGGTAAAGTAGACACATCTTTGCTTCTCCACCGCTCAGTTGTATTATCCACTTCACTCAAAACTCTATATAAGAACCCCAAAAAGAAAAAAAAAAAGATTAAAAAAAAGGTTGAGCAGCAGAAGAAGCAGAGAGAGAACGATGAAGCAGCTCAATCTGGCACTACAAATATGCTTAACGACCTCTCTGATACTACAGCTAGTCACTTGCTCAAACTTAACCCCAACGCCCATCCCATGGCCAGACCAATTCCATGCACTTTTGTTTATGAACTTGAGCACAACAAAGCTGCAGCTCAGTGACCTCTGGTACGACTGGCCTAAGGGCCGAAACGTCAACATATTTCAGAAGCAGCTGGGTGAGGTTTTGTACGACGTAGAGTGGAACAACGGCACGTCGTTTTACTACACCATAGGGGAGAATGGAGCATGTGAGGTTATGGAGTTTGAAGTTGGCATTCCTAGGCCTGATTTTCTTCTTGATGGGGCACACTATCTTGGGACTGAAGTCACAGATGGGTTTCTTTGCCATGTGTGGGAGAAGGTGGATTTTATTTGGTATTATGAGGATGTTTACACTAGGAGGCCAGTTCGCTGGGATTTCTATGATGGTACGTATGTGATTCATCTTAATTACTTGCAATGTTTGTTTACATTTTCCCTCTATTTCCAGGAAATTCTATTAACACGTATGTTGCTAGATTGACAGTCTTATAAGATAACATTACATATATCTGACGAGAGAATACTACCTTATTTGTATTTGTTTAATTTTTTATATGTATACAGAGAGACTATGAACACGTATATTGACCGTATGAGAACATAACATTGCACATATCTAGCAAGAGAACATTATCCTTATATGTAATTTTTTTATATAAAAAACATGTAATACAAAGACTAAATTTGATAACATATTGCAGGAATATCTAGTCAGGTGATGACATATGAGGTTGGTGCAGTTTTGCCAGATTCAGTGACTCAAGCACCTGCATACTGCTTCAACCAAGACAAAGATGCATAAGCTTTAGAAAGTAAATTGTCAAATATTTGATTAATGATGCATTTAAGTTTTATCCTTCGTTAAAAAAAGAAGCCATATATGCGTCCCCTTGAAGAAAATCCTTTTGTGAGTTGTGACCCATAGAGTCGATTTAGTGGATTATTGATCTCTGTTGTTAGCCAGTGTTATTCGCTTATTATCAAATACACAGACTAATTGAGCACCTAGGAGCAGAACAATTATGTCGAAATAATTAATCTTTGTTCCGAACAAATAAGTTTATCAAACTCAACAAGGCAGGCCTGCTGTTTGTGTCCCGTCTCCCATGTAAAATTAGTTTTATCAAGGGTAGATACTTGGTAGTTGGTAGGGGTGGGCACGGTTCGGTCCGGTAGTTTTCACTTTACACTGGAATCATAAGTGATACTATTAAATGTATATGGTTCAATCCAGTTTAAACCGATTTCGATGTGGTTTTTTATTTTCTGGTTTTGGACCTAATTTTTTTTTTTAATTTTATTATTTTATTTTTATTTTTTACAAATTCCAACTAAATTTTTTTTTTTTTGGGCTTAGAAAAGAGAGGTGCTTTGAAGTTGGGCTTAGGGAAATATTAGTTATGGAACTAGAAATTTAGCATTGGACTTTTTAAAAAATTAAAAAATACACACCCCGTCTGGTCTGCTTTTGTAAGGTGTGAAATCGGCACTATAATCGATTTGAACTTGTCTAGTCCGGTTCAGTGCCGATTTGTTGACTTTTTAGTCAACACGGTTTTTTTCTAGTTTTTCCGTCCAGTGCGGCTCGGTGTTCTGTTTCCCCCCCCCCC